GTAAAACATGTTTTTACTTTACATTTTCTTTTTATAATAAAATTTTAAACCTAAATGAAAGCGAAACGTACGTTGAACTGCATAAAACACGCCAGTGTTTTAGCAGCTAAAATAATATACCATATGGCCCCCTCCTCCCTAGTGCACTCACCGGACCCCTGTTGGGGGTGGGGGGTCTTGGGAGGACCAGAGGGAACACCTTTTGCGAGTTAGTTAATATTTCAGCAGGAAAGTAAAAGTAGAGGGAGTTCTGATACAAGTCTAGGTAGCTAGCGTGCTCGCGGTTAGGTATAATTTAGTGGGATTCTGGGAACTCTGTTAGATAAGACGTAAATATATGATGTTCGTACTAACTTTAACTATGTTCGAAATATGGATATGAAGTTTTATTAAATTAATTAAGCATATAACATACAATCATTCGTCTTATTTTTTGCCAACTTTGTTATTTACAATTAATATATAAAGAATAATCACTATATATACTGAAAAGGTTTAATTATAAGAAATATGTAAATATTATACATTCATATTATATAAACGATATTCAAATGTAAGCATATATTTCTATTTCACCTAACAACCTATGAACTTCCCACTCTGTATAACATTATTGATTAGTAACACGTATTCTACCCAGTTTTGTCAAAGGCTGCCGTTGTAGGCGGAAGTCTAGCTCGAACCGGATGCCCTGAATTCAGTGCGTATCGATTGACACGAGCCTACTGTGCTACAGTATACATAATATGTACCTATATATTGACTCTATGTAACTTTATTATCTTCAAACTAACGATTTCAATTAAAATGTACATGAAATTATAGTTAAAGGACACGCTTGGCTCAGTTTGTAGTGGCCCTACTTGCCTACTTGCTGTGCCAGCGGTCGCGGGTTCGAGTCCCTCTGGGGGAATTCATTTGTGTAATGAGCACGAATGGTTGTATTCCAGTCCAGTATAAAATATGTATGTAGATATTTAAAGTTATATATGTGTAGTGTATCAACTATCTGGTATCTACGAGTACAACACAAGCCTCGTAGCTAACCATGGAACTAAATGGCGCTCTGTGTTAATGTTCCAACATATTTATTTGTTTATTTTATTTATTTATATATTTAAAAATATTATCACAGTATTTTTAGTAAAATTCTTCGGATATGCTAATACCGACATAGTTCTAACCACTTCGAGAAAATTGAAACAAAGAAATGTTCTATTTAAGCAGTCAATTTTCAGTAAGTGCAAGTTGGAGATGGAATAATTCCGTTGAACGTCCGTCGACCCCCTTGAATAATGCAGCATCCGCAGCAGCTTTCTGCTCTAAGCTCTTAACACTAATCTCGAGTTCTTTGCCTGCATTCCGAATTAGATCGACGTATTTTTGCTAAGAAATAAAGAAAACTGTCTAACTTTAGTTATACCTAACTCATATGAGACCAAATCGACATTTATGATACAAAGTACGCAAAGTTAAAGTTGGGATACCGCAAAAAGCCTTTAGTCTAACACCGTCTCTTAAATGCCTATCAAGTTGTTACAAAAAGCCTAAATATTCAGAGCACTTTTCGAGTTTCACCTTTCAACAATTTAGTTGTAAACTTTTTCTAACAAAAAGTGTCGAAATATAACGTTTGAGCCTCAGTAGTCACTTTATCGCCCGATAAAGGTTTTACTGAGGGAAATTATTCATAAAGCTCTCGAAAACACGCCTTAGTGGAAAAGCTGGTACAATTGACATATCTTGTATAATAAATAAAACAATAATATAAATATTACTTGTTATCTACACTAATAAAGAGGTAAAATTTGTGAGTTTGTGACGTTGTAGGGGTAATCTCTGGATCTACAGAACCGATTTACATGAAATTTGGTAAGAAGATAGTTTGAGACCCTGGGAAGGACATAGGAAACTTTTTATCCCGGATATCACCCCTTTAGGGAATGGAAATGAAAATAGGGATGAAATTTTGTATTGGGAAGCAAGTTAGGGACGAACCTGAGCAAAGCGAGGGTGAGTCGCTAATATGCATTATTTTTATTCATTAACAAATCCTTGATACTTATAATTAAAGAGTTTAATTACTATTACGCCACAAAATACTTGTAACATATTATTAAATAAATATTAAAAGATTTTGATTTCATTTAAGTCAAAATGCATTGCATGCTCAGATTTGCATCAGACGGCCATGTTACCGTAAAGAGTTCATCCGTCTAGACACTTCGACCTAGGAAAGGGAGAGTGTGCCTCTCTCACTCTGCGCAAACATGCGCACTTTGGGAGGGGGAGGGGGGGTCAACAGGTGGTCCAGGGGGTCCAAGGTCGCGGAAGCGTCTGCCCCCAGATAATATATATTGAACGAAATACTTACTGAAAATTGCATATTATTAAGGACCAATTGGAGAAATGCGATGGTTGAATATTAATTTCAATAAATCTTCATTTTGGATTTTGTGTTGTTTACACGTTTAATACAACATCTTTCAGAAGAAGAAAATTGCGTAAGATTATAACTATTCAGTTGTTGAAACAAATATATGAAACATAATTTACATAAAACTAACTTTTGGAATTTTTTTGCGGATTGATTTTTATTTTTGGTTTCCGAAGTTTCGAATGCTTTACAGCAAACATGTGATCATGGGAGAGACTAAGGTTGGATAGAATAACCATGTACCAACCACCAATAAAATGTTATAACAATGATTGTACTAAAGAAAGTTTCTTAAGTAATTTCTCTTAAACATACAATTCAGTGGATTACAAATAATACGCTATATTACTCAGTTTGTTGTCTAGGGATGCGTTTGCAACTTGGCACCTGGGTGAACCGCGCGAATTCTTAACGAGAACCTCAAGAATAATCAAGACTTTCCTGAAGTTATCATAAATTATTGTTAATGTGAACGCACGTCTGATTTGCTCTTTGCTCACGTTTTACAAGTTATCTATTAACTAGCGACGCACCCTCGCTTCGCTCTGGTTCGCCCCTAGATTGCTTCCCGATACAAACTTTTATACCCATTTTACACCCTTGAGGGATGATTTTTGGGATAAAAAGAAAATCGGTTCAATAGATCCAGAGATTACCCCCTACAACGTCACAAACTCACAAACTTTACCTCTTTGTAATATTAGTATCGAAAACCTATTATACATATATGTTCTCATATCCGCTTTTAACAGGTAACTAATATATGTACATATATGATAATATTGTTTGTTGTAAGTTAATTTTTTTATTCGGAAAATAAAAGCAAATCATTTTTGAACGACTTTAAAAAATGATTAGGCAGTCAATTCGAATTAAGATTTTGTGTATACCATCATTATATGTTACGTGATATAGCGAGAATACCCATAATGCTTCTTTTAATAAGGCTTTCGAGTTTATGTACATATGTGGGGCTAAAATTGAGATATATTAACACCTCCAGGTAAATTTCTAAGAAATTAATTAAATAAAATTTCTAAGAAATCTAATTATTAACTGACACGCCGGCGTGTCCGCGGTCGTGATGGGATTAATTGTAGTCCCACATAAATTGGGAAAAAACCATTTCTAAAGATATATTATTTTTAAAGCTATTTCGCAGCCAGTGTACTTTTATAGTTAAAAAGTAATCTAATAAATAGGCAAAGATATAACAGTTGAGTACCTTTTCTCCTTTGTTTGTCAACCGATTTTCTTTACGTTTAGTTCAGTAGTTATTGACGAGTAATGTTATCAATATAACATTTGGAAACAATTCATTTTTTTATATACATAGATAGATAAATTGTATTCATATATGTTTTCCTCAAATATCCATAATGATTATGGTCGAATTTTGGCCTCTTAATTAAATTATTATTCTTGTTTACGTCATACTTACATTTCAATCTGACACGTCACGACACGTTTGGCTCAGTTTGTAGTGACCCTACTTGCTGTGCCAGCAGTCGCGGGTTCGAGTCCCGCGGGGGGCATTCATTTGTTTGATGAGCACGAATATTTGTACTCTAGCCATGGGTGTTTATATTTATAATATATATGTATTTAAACTTATAGTATACATATGTAGCGTATCAACTATCTGGTATTCATAACACAAGCCGAAAACACGTACCTTACCATGGAACCAGATGGTGCCGTGTGTTAATGTCCCAACTTAAACAAAATCTGTTAAATAAATCTTACAAAGCGTTCTTGACTATTGATCACGGACTAAAGTAAACTACGATAGCGGAATCACTGGCAACTACTAGTATAATTATATAACGTAAAAAAATATATTAAAAGTATAAACATGTATTATCTCTATTTTTTTACGCTCCATAACAATTGTTAACATCGCGACTTACACTATCGTCAAGAGTTTACGATAAGTCCAAACAAAAACAGCGACAAAGTCATCAATGTTGATTAAAGATTTAAATTTTAAAGTAGTTTTTTATATTCATATGCTAAATCCAATCCGTTAATAATATATAAACAATATATTGTCTATACTATATAATATTATATACATAATATTATAAAAAGAAGAAAATTGTTTTTGAAGTTATACTTCTTTTGGGACGTTTGGAAAAAATTATAAGAGTAAAACTTACGATAAGACATAATGAAGTTAGCTGATAACTGTTTATTACCATGGTAACCGTTGTTATTGTCTGACAAATGATATATAATAATATATTCTTTCCTTAAATGATATTCTATAAATATAATTGATTGTAATATTGTTAATTTGCCATATAACTTCTTACGTGCGTACATAAGTACACTACACACACACTTTTTTTGTGTTTGTTTATAATGGATAAACTAAAAAACCGCTGAACCGATTTAGATAGGTATGAAGATAATTCATGACCCTGATTAGGACATAGAATAGTTTTTATCTCAGAAATCATCCCTTAAGGGGATAAAAAGGGGAATGATAGTTTGTATAGGCAATCAATCATTTCTCTCTATCATGTTTAAGAGATAATGTAATTTACTTTTATTGTTCCAGTGGACGGCGAGCCCACCACGCTGTCGTTGGGCGCGCGGGGTTCTCTGGGCAGGGCGCTCCTACACGGGCTCTTGGCCCCCACGCCAGCGCCCCGGCACCACCTCTACACAGCACCCAACACAGGTAAGATGATACTGTTTACTTATAAACTGTCACTTATATTCATTTGTAGATTATTCTTGTACTTTACATAGGTTTCTTGGTTCATTTACAGCGTTCAAGCAAAAATTTAAATAAAAATATATTTTCGGATTGTTTCGCGGATATTTTTTTATTTTTGTAAAATTGTGGTTATACACTGTCTGTAATAAGTGTATAACGCCTTCAAGACATTTAACACCTTAGTCTCTCCCGTGACCATGATTGCTGTAAAGCATTCAAAACGTCGGGAAACAAAAATCTAAATAAATCCGCGAAATAATTCGACAAGATAGTTTTACTCGTATTTCAAATATTCGCGTTTTAAGAAAGTATAAACTTATTCCTATCCTAAAAAAATTAAAATATATAATATTATTTGATAATTTAAATGATTAGGAGCTAAAAGAAAATTATTTATACCATTTTCGTCTTATAATAAGTCACAAGAGACTTCAAGCAATATAATGCTTACATTCACTTTACCACCTTATTTAGAAAAAAAACCATAAAAGCTCCGCAACAAAGAACAAGTATAGCTTCAAGGATCCCTAAGGATGTACATTGAATTATGTAATAAATAACGCAAGCTAGCAGACTTTACCCAGAATATGGCTCGTTTAGAGCTTTCACTAAACTTTTGTAATACCAGCGGTTTTCACAACTTAGCGGGCGTTTTGTTGTTATATTTCAAACAAAATGTGTATAAATATATAATATATTTAAATGCCGATTATAATCTCTCGGTAATTTAAAACGATCAGTTAAACTAAATTAAACGGTTTTTACAAGTAAAAAATATTAATTTATATGTAACTATACTTGCGGTACAAATTCGCTACAAACTTTCTTGGAAATAACAAATAAGCCGACAGTTTGTTTCGTTCGAAAAATTTCTTTATAAAATATTCTCAGACGATTCAATAAATAAATTATGAGATTAGCTTCCATCTAGGTGCCTTTGATTCGGGTCAGCCTTTCTGAAGTTTCTAGAAGCCTGGCACCCTTTGTCCCTAGATAGTGCCGCCGGCCATTCTCGCATCGTAACGATCTGACATTAACAGATATGAAGGAACCCTTATTTTCTATTTATAATGTAGTATATAGTCTATATAATGTACATATTTAAATCTAACGTACGTCCCAACCGGTCAATATTTTACGCTCAATACCTTATAATAAAATTCTAGTTGAGTCGAATCTGTACATTAGATATTTTTGGGAAAACCTTTTTGAAATAATCATTATTATCGATACAGAGGCTGCAACTATAGTTTTTAGAATTTTTGTCTGTCTGTCTGTCTGTTTGTCTAGGAACGCATCACGAGAAAACCACTGGACAGATTTGATGTAATTTGGTATGATGATAGTTAGTTATCCGGGTCAACATATAGGATACTTTTTACCGCAGGAAAACATCTCATCTCTGACAAATCTATACAAAACTTTAAAACGTAACTAGGGAAGAATCCGAGCGGAGCAAGAATGAGTCGCTAGTATAAAATAAATAACAAAGCTGTAAGTAATCTTCGTAAACATCATTCAGAAATTTATTTTTAATCTATAATTCCCATACACAAATATTGCTATGGAATAAAAGCAAAGGAATTATAACGATAATTTGAAATAAAGCTAATATTATTTCTGTTATTACAAAGGACAAAAGTACATTTAGAAGCAATTATATAAAAAATATATTTGGCGAAGTTACGAGTATGGCAACATGGCGGAAATTGCTTTAGGTTGTCTGCGTACATAGCAACCTATAGTGACCGATGAGTTCGCATGGATTCCCAACTAAATGAAGTTATTTATATTAATATTTTGATATTAAATAGTTTATATAAAAATCATCCATTTGATATGATCGAAAGTGACCTATTTCACAGATGAATCTATAATTTTGATTAAAACTGTTTTAGATATTTTAGCTATTTAATTTAATTGTTTATTCCCGATGTTTCGGATGCTTTACAGCAAACATGCTCATGGGAGAGACGGTTCAACTCACAAGTTATAGTTATTACAGACATGAAAAATGTTCAAAAGGCTTCTATCGCCAAATTCAAAAAAATTGTTAAAGAACGTTTGTGTGCTATATGTTGTGTGCTATATAGTGCTAAATGATTTTATAGAAGATGGCACACCTTGGGAATGAAATGATCGCCTCCAGGCTACTTCAACTTGATAGAAATATTGTAAATTATAATTTTACTTTAAAAAAAGATAACAAGTCAATACTAGTCCTGCTGAGTTTCTTTCACCAGTTCTTCTCAGATCTGAGGCTTCTTCTTTCCGAACTGGTAGTAGATTCATGACGTTCAGTAAAGAATTGTAATAATTTAATGCTGAATAAAATATTTTGATTTTGATTAGACGATGTCTGTCTGTCTGTCACATAAAAATTATACAATAATTTGTAAAATGGCACCAAAATACCTTATAGTTTTTATTTTTAACTATTAATCGAAAGGATTTGTCAAAAATTCTGTCAATTCGAACGCGCAATATCTTCTTAAAAACCTTTCACTAAACAAGTTATATATCAAAGTAGCTTGTAGCGAAAGCAATTTCCTGTGGAAACATTGCTTGAAGATTACTTACTAAATTCATGTACAATTTTAGAAATTCAGTACACTAACAAATTATATATCTTTAGACTAAAACAGAAAACAAATAATATTATTATTTTTGAAAGAGTGGTTTTCTGAATGTTACAACCCCTAGCTTGGGGTTTAAACCCAAAAAAAACATATTTTTAAGTACTTTGTTCATATTTTAACAAATTAATACATTTTTTATAGTAATAGATTACTAGGATTCAATTTGTTCGATTCAAAATTAACATGGACACTGTAAAAGAATGATTACCAAGAATTGCTTCTCATCCGGTCCCATTCGCAGAATGCACTGTAGGTACTGATAACGGCTATAATTCTAAATCGTACGTATAAATCTTAATAATTTTTACCATCCCAAAAAGCTTTATAGTATTTTGTTATATTTAATTGACAATAAAGCCTATATATTATACATACTGCCCATTTATTTAATTATCCGTGGTAAGTAGCTGCATCCTAAAAAAATCGAACTAGCGACCCGTAACAATATGAATAAACATTAATATTCACATAAGCAAAATTGTCTATTTTTCTCGTACTAACATACGTGCTTTTTACCCTAAATCTAACATTTCTGACCTGTGAAGAGGGATTACATGGCCTGCCTACGTGAATGTACCGTATGTGCTAAGCCTATGTATTAAATATAGTATATTTCTAAATCCTTTTTGACATATCCTTTCTTAAACCTCACACTATTGTAGACAGTTTAGGTAATGTTTTCGTATGAAAATTATTCTGTGATTTTATCTATTTGAATTTATTTTTAGATATTTTATACTTAATTAAAAAAATATTTGTTAACATATAAATCTACGTCTCCAACGAAACATTAGGAATCAGTTACAAAAAGCAACAATCATTGTTTAATATTTAAAATGTTACTAAGTAATACAACTGATTATTTAATAATAGAAAACAAACATTTTTCCCATCTTTGCTTAAGTAAAAAAAATTTATATATAACATTTTCAAAGTTAAATTGAAACCTATAAAGCGCGCCTGAAAGTGAAAGATCGCGTCAAAACAAGCTACAGAGGCGAGCCATGAAAAATTCATAAAGAACAAAGAGGAAGTGCTGGCAAATCGATAGCAGCTGATCCCAATGTCACGACCGCGCCGCCCTGCCTCCCCACACGCCCCCAGCCACCGGCCGCGGCGCGCCATTCACACACAGACAAACACATCATGCTAGACGCTTTTATTACTTAAATATGCTTATTAACTCTTTGTTTGGAAATGGGTGAGCTATATTTCGGTTATCACTTTCTAAGTCTATAATATAACAAGATATTACTCGCCATTTTGTAACGAACATTTTATTTTATTGCTATATATAAGGGCTTCTAATTCAATAATTTTATTTTCATGTCTAGATACATATTGGATTTTTGGTGTTAGATATGAAATATTTTTTCCGATATGATATTATGTGGGTGGGATAGAAATATAACAATAACACTTTCACTCTTCATAACCCTTCAACGTCATCTGGTCCAGATGGACCATTATGTAGGGAAAAATGTGCAATTCGGCACAATTCTCAATGTGGGTGGATTAATTTGCACAATGTATCAGTTATTATTATTTCAAATTATATTCAAAGGGGTATTTTCTATTGTCCAACCCTGACAGCTTTTGATGTATTACTTCAAACGCCATCATGTCGAATATTTATTTTGGGACGAAAGTAAATAGTGTTTAATAAGTGGTCTTTTAAATAATATTCGGTATAACTGGATTGTCAACTGTGTAATAATGTATTGAATTTACCTCATTGAAATATGCTTGAATGTAGTTAGCTTTAATAATTCTCATAATGACAAACTAAAAACATATTAGAGAAACCCTGCATTCAACATAATGAAGAATATTTGTATGTACTAATGGTAAGGTGATATCCACATATCTGAATACTTGACAGCGCAAAAACTTTACACATTAACCCAGAAACGGTCGGCATTTCAAACGTAACCCTTACAATGGTGCATCAGGTTCTTGATCCTAACCAAACAATAGCGCAGATGCTAGCACACATTGCGTCCAAATATCTATTTTGTGCAAAAATGGGTTAAACACCTTGCGCCGCGCAACATCACAATCTAATCTGCCATTCATCTCGTTTTGAGCTCTAGCTTTATCTCTTTTCCCTTTGAATTGGTTTCCGGCGCTGACACTTTGAAATTAGAATGTCACGCGTGGGTGCGCAAACGCAACTCATTGTTAGTTATGAATGAGTACGAACAGTATTGATATTTCGAGACGAGAATTGAATGATTAGTCCTCCATGTTGCATATTGTAACAATATGCGAATAAATCCGAACGTTTATATATAGCAAATATTGCCAATATATACTCAACTCGTCTTGGATGGACATCCTGCACATATTCAAATTTAAATAAAAAAATTGCCGGATTATATATTGGCATAATTTTAATTACATGTTCACACGTATGAAGGAAATATTGACCCTCATGATTATGTAACATGTATACAAATGTTCAACTGACCAACGGCACATCTAAATTATACAGGGTCTAAGCAAATTAGCATCTTAAAGGACATAAATAACAAAAGGAGACGCGGAAAGGGTTAAAAATACTCGCAAAGTGGAGATGTAAGGGCTTTGTACTGAAAATCCTTAGTAGTCACGGATGCTGGGAGGGGGTGCATTTGTACCCCCTGCCATGAAGGAAAATATATAGAAAAAGTTAAAGATATAAAACTGTATCAGTAAAATCCTTGTTTAAATTTAGATATCTGCGAAAAAGTTGATAAATGAGGTACGAATAAAAATTATAAATAAATTATTTAAAGATTAGTTAGTAGTTTAATGTGAAGAGGCAGAGGCACCCTGGAAATAATTCTGCCGCCGCCCATGTTAGTAGTGTACTTTATTTATGTACAATATTTTGGTTTGGCTTTCTAACGAAAAGTAAATTTCTTAACAATATAAGACGTTTCAGATCTTGATTTTTCTCGATATCTTCACACAGCGAGCTTAATGAGGTTAAACAATTGACGACGAGTGAAAGAGAAAAAATATAATACGTAGAAATATATAACTAATTGTAATAGGATACATATAAAATAAGGCAGTGATAGCCCAGTGGTAACGCGCTCGCCTAGGAAACCGAGTGAAGCGGGTTCAAATCCTGGGTCTCGCACCTCTGATATTGTCATGTGCGAATCATTTCCAACATGATTGCCACTTGTCTTAAGGATGAAGGAAAATATCGTGAGGAAACTTGCATGTTTGAGTGAACCTAGCAAGTTTTCAAAAAACATGTGAATTCCGCCAACCCGCACTTTGCCAGCGTGGTGGACTACTGCCTGATCCACCTAGTACTGAAGGGAGGCCCGAGCCCAGCAGTGGGACATAAAAAAGGGCTGAATAATAATAATAAAAAAACATATAAAATAAAAAAATGGGATTTCCCTTTTTATATAACTTTCGTGCTACGTGTTGTCACTTGTATATTTTGTACTAATCATACGAGGAAAACAGTTGCAAACAATGAGGAATAATTTAATTTCATTATATAGAAAACATACATTATGTCAATTGAATAATATATTATCGAATATTTATATTCACATTTCTTTAAGTCAAACAATTTCATCTTGCAGATAAAATAGCGTAAAAACCACAGTTTTATTATATTTTTAAAACTTCTTTTTAATTGTTGTGTAATCACACTATTTTTATCTCTTTAATACTTATTGTACCGACGACCTTTCTTTTACTTATTGACGTAGGACTATTTATGTATAATTAGTAACATTTATATGTATATTTTAATCTATACTAATATTGTAAAGAGGCAGAGTTTGTTTGTTTGGACGCGGTAATATCAGAAACTACTAATCCGATTTGAAAATTCTTTTTCGATTACATAGCCAGTTTATTGAGAAAGGCTTTATGCTGTATATCATCATGCTGCTACCCACGGGAGCGGAGCAGTCATCTTAAATGTCAACAATTCGGGCAGACATTCCATACGTTATTGTAAAGAGAAGAGAAAGATTAGTTTGTTTTTTATTCTTTGAACGCGGGCGAAGCCGCGGGCTCTACTAGTTAATAATATTTATATATTTGTATGACCAGATAAGCACGGTATAAATTATCGCCGTATTTTTCACGGATCATTTTTACAGCTTGACAGCTAAAACAGTAATTATATTAGAAAATTAATTAAAAAGGATACAACTCAATAGAATATACGTAATTAAAGTAAAATTATATATAACAAGATTTAACGAGCTATTATATTACAAACATGTTAAGAAAAGATCAATAAGACACAGCGAGTTCGCTCCGCGTGTACCTAAACAAGATCTATATAGAGTCTTATGTACTCGATTCACCGCACGATTATTCATATGCAAAAAAATCTAAGTCACAATTCGCTTGGATTATGGTCTAACGCCGCTTTTGGCACAAAAGGCGATGGACAGCGGTCACTCTATAAAGATGGGCCGATTAAAAAGGGTGGGGTACTTTTGTCCCGTATTGTGATATTTTACTAATGGGACCGCATTCCGCTCTGACCGGTAGACCTGATCCGAGTCGGAGGGTGCAGCGATCATTATTTATAGTTAATTTATTATTATTTTGATACGTGAGATGAAAGGGTTACACAATACCCCAATTCCGTGTTCCTGGCCGTTGGTCAAACGCTTGTGTGGCGTGACAACTAAACTTGAAGTCGATTAGAAGACGAGAGGTTCTTATAAATCCGATATTTCATATATAATTTTATATTTGTTTGTGAAAAGTACAATTTAAAAATTATATCATTAAAGTACACCGTAAGTACCACTATACGGTATTAAATGTGAAATATTTGAACGCCCTTCAAACGCCTTGGTATCTAGAGGTGAACACACAGACGTGCAGCTGCATCGTTTATTACTCATGAAAAATAAATAATATCCTTATAAATTCAATGTTATAATTTTAAACACATTTGCATTCACAAGATATCACTATACAAGGTACATCGCGAAATATCGTAGGTATCTCACGTGCTGCGGACGGTATCATAAATCTTTTAATTTATTATAGATTAAAAAAGCTTGTGTTATTGTTGCTAAAGCTTGTTCTATCCGCTAGTGATTATACAGTAACACTATCCCATTCTCAGTTTAAATGGTCAATAGTGTCCCGCGAGGCGCACCGCGCTTCCCGGTTCCCATACGCATTGTCCGGTTGAAGGGTTGACAATAGCCACAAAGGGGTGTGGACAGCGCATTTACTCGCACCGGTCAAATGGTCACTGCTCTCAATACCAGTCATAGTTTCAATGGACGAGGAAACACATGAATAAAACCTTTCTTTCTCAACTCCTAGTCGTATGATTATATTATTTAAATACCGTACAACCGTTATACGTCAAACTTTTTTATTACAACGGCTTTGACATGAGAAAGTTTCGGCCAACTTTTGATTTCCATAATTGTGTTTAAACGACGCTAAGCTCAAAAAACGACGTGGACAGCAGGGCTACTTCGTAATAAATTACATTATAAGAACAATTAATAACTGCATTTCGAGGAGCGAAATAAAGTCCAAATTATAAAGTCTCACATGAATATTAATGGAAGAAGTTACTTGTCAGCTACTAATTATGCAAGCATAACATACCAAAGTGAAGCATTCTGTTTATGATGCAAAAAAATGCAACCCTAATCGACCCCTCGGCCCTTACGACCCTAAGACACAGTTTTGCATAATTAAAAATTAAAAACGTATGGTTCTACATTATAATAGTTTTCTGGACATTCCCACACAAGACAAACAGGTTGAATGCAAAGTGCATTTCAGCATTTCTAACGGCTGCATTGTTTGAGTGGCCGTTGGTCACAGAGACCCGGGATTAGTGGCGGGTTGCATGCGAATTATGCAAGATGACCGTTAGATACGACAAAAGATGCTGTCTCAGTGATTTATTCGCTTTTTATTCAAATCGCTCATTCAAACGGTTCTGCGCATCGCAGATTCATTATGATTTTTCAATAACATTAACAAGGGTAAAAATATCAAGTATTTTAAAAATAACTGATTTTTTTTATAATTTATAATAAGCGGTTAATAGATATCAATATGGATATATTAAGACGCAAAACATAATAGTGATGTAATCGTAGGTTATAAAATTTTCCAGTAAGAATAAAAAGTACAATTCATTGTTAGAGCGCAAGATTCTTGACTAATTCTTGGTCATACCTATTTATAATTTCACTTACAAACAAACTGTCCTGGTTCTATTTGTGTGAGGACATCTCTTATATTAGGCTGCGTTTGACACAATTGACTCGGATTGTACCTACGTCGCGGTCAACGGTACCGCGAAGTTTATCCAATAATAATTTACTTATAAATAAATATCATAATAGCTATATTAAATATTGAAGTGCCGCTTACGTTTTTAACTACAAGTTATTTCATTGAAATAGCACGAATATTTTCCACAAACAGAAGGATAATATACATTGTATGAGCTTGCAAAGATAGATGCTATCATTGAACTAATAAATCTTTTTTCTATCTAATAATCCCTCCACGACCGCGGACACGCTGGCGTTACAGTTAACAATAGATTTCTTAGAAATTTAATTAATTTCTTAGAAATTTACCTGGAGGTGTTAAACCTCAGTTAATAGAACATCAGTAAAAAATATATTTCGTGTGTCGTAATCTAATTTTGCATTAAGGTATATGCAAGAAGAAATATTTTATCTTATCTTTTATATCGGAAGTACTCACAATATATTTGATAGTTATTTTTAAAGTTACTGATACTAACTTGCGCTTCTGTCAGATTTAAATTCAAAAATACATTTTCTTAAACATTCGTGTCTTCCTCAGGGTCTCTCCCACCGTCACCAGCGGACAGCGGAGTGTCAGATGTAGAGTCTTCATCATCTGGCGCCGGATCCGCCGAGGAGTTAAAGGCGAGGCTTCAGCCACCGCCCACGCCCTTCCACACGCCCTTCCTGCCCTTCTACCAGCAGCATCAGATCGCGTCGCTGCAGCATCACGCTCACCCTAGGCCACCTGGTAAGTTTAATGAGATTGCTCAAATTACTTTACCTTTATATAGGTAATAATTATTTTTACTTGTAATCAATTCTCCATTTTATAAAAGCTAAATATTTATAATAATCCGTTTTTAAAACAAAATGTATACATCAGATATAGCTATCGGCCACTTCTATCAGCTATCTTAAGACGGGATATAGGTAGATCGTGTATAAATAACGTCAAGAATACAAAACACTGGACTTCCAACGAAGATCCGCAACGATCATATCTTAAAAGTGACGAATCGTTTTGTTGTTTCATAAAAGAATATTTCCTCTACATAGAGACGTTTCAAATTCAAAAATAACCAATTAGTTAAATTGAAACCGTTAAAACTTCGAATTTTGATTTAAATAAATAAAATTTGTGATTATAAAAAAAAAACATTTTTTTTTAATAAAACCAGTAATATTTGTCATATCATTAATTAAAGATTTAATAAATTATTTTATGCAAGCGAAAAATAGCAGAACAAAATTTAAAGATGGAGAAACAATAGCATTGTTTGGGTGGGAAGGTGACCGACGGTGAACGCCCCACCCGGAAGGTCACCTTACCGAGCGCAAGGAATTTGGGAATTGTAAACTGTTATAACCGCAAATTTTTATATTATTATATATACTCTTCAATATCCAAAATTTTCATCTAAAATTTATATTGATTATATTTTCTTAATTCTCAAACAACATTATTATTAATTATAATAACTAATTATTAGGAAAATGTTCGATAATTTTCGACTAGCGACTAGCTTGCTTCCCAATACAAACTTTCATCCCCATTTTCACCATCTTAAGGGATGTTTTCTGGGATAAAAAGTATTCTATGTCCTTACCAGGGTCTCAAACTATCTTTTTACTAAATCTCATCTAAATCGGTTTAGTAGATCCAGAGATTACTCCCTACAACGTCACAAACTCACAAAATTTACCTCTTTATAATGTTAGTATAGATTATTGCGAGAAAGCAGTAAATGAAAATTGGGTTAAAAATATTTTTAAGTGTAATAGAAACAAGATAATGATTGCAGATCCTATTCGTACTTCCGGGGGCGTGCATGCACCCTGGCCGCCTGCCAGTTGGCTATACACGTCCCATTAAATGCCCAAATTACTTAGCGGCCCGATGATAATTCACATTGCATTTGTTACAATTTATACGAGAAAAACACGAGTGATAAGTTTTTATAAACAAGGCGATCAATTGCGACACGGAATTAGCCTGAAATGCATCAAGATTTAACATTCAATGCTCTCGGAGATACTGACGTTTCGACGACGAGAATATTCTGTACCTACAAACATAACGCATACGAGATTTTTATATTCAAATTAAGTTTTAAACTAATGGACAATGCCATTTATTATGTATATATATTTAGACGTTTCGAATCGCTTAAACGATCGACAAGATTTTCCTTATTTAAATGACGCACGACCTGTAAATATTGTCATATTCTCTCTAATTATAACTTAGCGTAACGCTCAACTTGACAAAAGTAATAAAACACGGGAAGTACTCGTACAATTCTGTTTGAAGCGTTTGTTTTTGTTTTACTCCCACTTGCTATGTGCTGTGTACGTTATATAATAATATGTATTTATATTAGTGTGCGAAGGGCTATGACTCAGAATATAATCAAACAGATATCAAAATTTATAGACATATTCACTATATAAATATTTTTACCTGTTGTCCGTCGAAGCTTTTAATTTTTTTTACTAGCGTTTGCCGGCGACTTTGCTTGCGTATTTTCTTTATGTATGATTGTTTTGCTTCTAAGAGTCCGTTTGCCCGCGACTTTGTCTGCGTTTTTTTTATGTTTAATTGTTTTGCTTCTAAGGGTCTCAACGTGATCTTCCTTGATAAATAAGGTATAAAAACTAAAAAGATTTTTTCAAATCGGACTGGTAATTCCAGAGATTGGCGCGTTTAAACAAAAAAAACTAACAACCTCCTCAGCTTTGTACATTAGTATCGAGTATGGATATAGATAAAAATCAGCAAATGACTATTATTGTACTAATTTTACTTTAAAAATCAAAATAGATATATTCCGACTCTACAAAGTCAAAAAATCAGATGTATTGACTTATACGTGGCATGAATGAGATCTGATTTCAATCTATACATATAATAAAATTGTAACTAAGCCGAATCTGAACATTAAATATTTTTTGGAAAATCTTATTGAAATAAACATTATTATCGATACAGAGGCCGAATCTATAGTTTTTAGAATTTTTGTCTGTCTCTCTGTATGTCTGTCTGTTACCGTATCACAGAAACACCACTGGAGGGATTTTGATGAAATTTGGTATGGTGATAGCTGGTTATCTATGTCGACATATAAAATACTTTTTATCACGGGAAAATATCTCATTTCTGAGAAAAAATGCAAAAACTGCAATATCAGAAAGAGTATACTAATCTGTACAACCTAAGATTTTGGTTTTTGGTCATCTGAACGCGGGCGAAGCCGCGGGCAATGCTAGTTATAATAAATATAATAATTGAACGGCCGTAATAAAAACAGCTCGATCGCTCGCTACACCCCTAGCGAACCAGTTGGCATAGCGATGCATCGGTTGTCAGCTATTTGACATTGTGCAAGGTCAGTGCTCCTAATATAAAGATGCAAAAACTCGCACCGCGTATGCGCAGCGCGTAGCGGCGAGCCGCATGCGAAGCCACCACTTTCGATTGCATTTTAATATTACCTTCATGTAATTGTTCCTATGGATTTTTGTATTTGTTTACTATAACGTTGGAAACTTATAATTTTTCAGATTTACGTTAAAATTAGTTTTTGTATTCATTTTTTTTTTCAATCAGTCATGTCAAGTCAGAGTCGAAGAAATTAATAAATATTTCGTTATTAATTGTCAATTTCTTATAGTTATTATGTAATTTAAAAGTAAATAAATAAAATGGAACAAAACATAAGCATTATTAGCTCAGTAACGGAAAAGATAAGATTCGTCACATACACGATAAGCGGACAGGAAAAGTAACAATGATGTGTCACGTCCCTTGCATCGTTATACATACGTACATACATACACTCGAACATAACTTGCAAAATGTTTTATTACTCATTAAGTGTAGTTTCCGTGAGTGAAGCGTCAAATTTAACTTCAAATTTCATTTTCAAACTATAAGTAGACTGTACTTGGTTTTCATTTCTTAAAAATTTAAATTAGTAGCTACCGAATCAGTTGTAACAAGATATTATTGAGAAAAACAAAAACAAATCTATCCCACGGGAACCGTACATTTAAAAAAAGCCGCCTATGCACTATTCCAGACTATAATCTATCCCTGTGCCTCCAGATCCGTTCAGCCGTTCTGGCGTGATTGAATAACAAACATCCAAAAATCCACATCTAAACTTTCACATTTATAATATTTGTAAGAAGTAAAATTCATGATAGTCCAAACACAAAACAAAATTATCTCCCATATCACGTTTAAACCGCTTCATACTACATTTACTCTTGTTTACAACATTAAATTATAAAAAACCTATACAAAAACAGCTATAATGGAGTGGTCAAGCGTAGTTATAAGAAATATTCGAAAGAAAAATGTGAACAAAAACAATAAAATAACGAAAATTATGTTATTATTCCTAATCTTAAGCGAACGGAAATTTAAAAACATGCACAATTATTTTGATTTTTTGTTCTTGTAATATTTTGTGTTTATATTCTGTAAAATGTTAACATACTCGTAATATCACTTTTGTATCCTAGTTCCTTTCATTTATCACATACGAGCACAACTCCAATTCATTAATAGCATTTATATTAAAAACGTGTGTATGTACTTATGTACGCACGTAAGAAGTTATACTTCTTTGGCGTAACAGAACAAAAATAGCTAAAGATTTCATCCCGTATGTCACAACTCTGTTTGTAAAAGGAATGCAGCTAACTTCATCATGTCGCTTTCAGCTAACTTAATCATGTCATTTAAAATTTTACTCTCATATTTTTTCCAAACGTGCCAAAAGAAATATAACAAATATCAAAAATCAAGTAATATTTCCGCCAGCGTATTGCCATTCCACAGTGCGATAGCGATATAACTATACAGTATCGAAACATAAACAAGTCTCATCAAGTCAATTGTTCGGAGGCTGCATGCACGGTATTGCGCTAAGCACACACGAAATTTCGATGTTGCAAACCTATTGCGAAAGCTGCCGGCGCCATTGTCAGCTGACGAAACAACGACCTTACATATTGGGCACTCGAAAACCTGAATCGTATATGCTATACTAGAGTAACCAATTATCACGACAATTTCCGGATTATTTTTATTAAGCGATTCTGACGAAATAAATGTGGTTTAAAGCCAAAGCTTAACATTTTTTCGCAATGCGCTTATGTATGAAATTATCGTTTTTTATTGCGGTTTTGATGTACACCTTTAGATTGTCTGTCATTCGAAAATCCAATAACAGGATCTCTGCGGACATTTGGTCATCTGGCGACACCAGCCATAATGTAATGTTCGAAAATATTTTAACAGGTGTCGTTACGGAAATCAAGATAATACTAATAGAAGTGAAACTTTTCGAGGTCTTTTAAAGGTTCCAAATGTTGTAGAGAATGTACAGTAAAAAATATAGTATATGTATTTCATTGGATGGCGAAAAAACTAAACTTTGCATTCTCATTTGTGTGATATTAGTATTTACTAATATTATAGATAGAGTTTGTTCGTTTGTTTGAACGAGCCAATCTCAGGAACTACTAATTCGATTTGAAAAATTCTTTATTACGGAAGGTATATACAGATAGGCTACATATCATATAATATATAGTCCATACGAACCGTTATATACATTTAATTTGATGGTAAAATATGTTGAAACGAATAGGTGTAATTTAGATATCTCCTATCACTAACTTAATAATCACAGCCTTGACTGGCTAGATTGGCCAATTTCATGACGTAGAGATGTGAAA